CGATAATAATGACACTAGCAGAGTGTATATGCAAATATAACATCACTCGTGTTAGCATCCAAAGATGACACGACAAGAGGTAGACTTATTTTAAGGCCCCCGTGGACGCGCGTGGCAGGTGAGGGCGTCGGGCGAGGCCGCACTTGGCATAACAACCCTTCCGCGGCCAACCAGACGCGCGCCTAAAAAATACGTAGGGGAGCAAAGGGGGGAGGGAGGAGGAGAGATGGTGGCAGAGGGCATGAGGGAAAACATGCAAAACTTGATGTTGCATATATCTTAGACAGCGATTACATTTGTGATTCACGCCATTAGTCTATCTTTTTTCGTGAGCTGAGCAGTTTGTGGGATGCAATGGAGGTCTATGATTTACATAAAAGGTATAAGAACTACAGCGTTAGGAGGCGTTTCCAACGGGAACGAGTCATATAGCAGGGTGGGCATCTACCTCCCCCCTGCCCAGCCTGGGCACTCCTCTCCTCCCAAGAACGTGGCACAGAAACGGGTCGCACCATAACTCGGATTCCAGCGAATGCAAACAGAGCATAATTTGGCACCCTCAAACAGTGCCGGGCGGAATACAGGTGGCACCCTTCATGGGCGTGACAGGCACCGAGCCTAAGTAAGATTAATTCAGTCAATTTGCTTGGCATTCTGCTGTTGTGACTATGAAAGTTCTTAGATAATTTTATACCGAGCGGGGCGCCGAAATCAGCTGGTGTTTTCATCTTTACCTGAGCTAATAATCTGTCATCTGCTCTGTCATTGCAGGAAAAAGTTCTCAAAGGAAGGGATCAGGAAAGAATATTACCTTTCACATAAAAAACACATTAGTCAGTTCGTTTGTGTGCAAGACTTTATATATACTATTGTAAGGCGTATTTTACATATAGTCTTAGAATATTATCGTGAGTATTTGAATTTATTTGTTCATATATCTGTCACCTGTCAGTCTCTCTCTCTTTCTCTCTCTCTCTCTCTCTCTCTCTCTCTCTCTCTCTCTCTCTCTCTCTCTCTCTCTCTCTCTCTCTCTCTCCCTCTCTCTCTCTCTCTCTCTCTCTCTCTCTTTCTCTCTCTCTCTCTCTCTCTCTCTCTCTCTCTCTCTCCCTCTCCCTCTCTCTCTCTCTCTCTCTCTCTCTCTCTCTCTCTCTCTCTCTCTCTCTCTCTCCCTCTCCCTCTCCCTCTCTCTCTCTCTCTCTCTCTCTCTTTCTCTCTCTCTCTCTCTCTCTCTCCCCCCCCCCCTCTCTCTCTCTCTCTCTCTCTCTCTCTCTCTCTCTTTCTCTCTCTCTCTCTCTCTCTCTCTCTCTCTCTCTCTCTCTCTCTCTCTCTCTCTCTCTCTCTCTCTCTCTCTCTACATCCGTCTGTCTGTTCTTCTATTTACTTTTCTATATAGTTACCTGTTCATGTATCTATCAATCAGTCAACCAATCAATCTCTCTATCTCTCTATCTATATACTTATCAATCAATCAATCAACCAGTCACTCAATCAACCAGTCAATCAATCAACCAGTCAATCAATCAACCAGTCAATCAATCAACCAGTCACTCAATCAACCAGTCAATCAATCAACCAGTCAATCAATCAATAAAATAATTTAATAATGAAGTGAAGAAATAATAAAATAACAAGATAATAAAATGATAAAATGATAAGATGATAAAATAATAACATAATAAAAGAATAAAAGAATAAAAGAATAAAAGAATAAAAGAATAAAAGAATAAAAGAATAAAATACAAAAATGAAGGAATAGAAGAATAGAAGAATGAAATAATGAAGTAATAAAATAATAAAATTATAAGATGATAAAATGACAAGATAATAGAAAGATCAGAGAATAAGAGTAAAAGACTAAAGGAACAGAAGAACAAGCGGGGAGAGATGATGATGCATAAGATGAACGTGCAAATTGCAATATTTCATTAGGAAGAAGATTATGTATATTGAATTACGAAGAGAAAGTTAATAAGATGCCGAGGCGAATAAAAAGAAAGAAAGAGAGGGAGGAGAAAGAAGAGGAGGAGATAGAGGAGAAGGGGAAGACATAGAGGAAGAAGAAGAAAAAGAAGGAAAAGACGAAAGAGAAAGAGAAACTGAGAAGTACATGAGAAAGATATTAAGAGTATAAAAAAATAGTGAAAAAGAGAAAACCGGTAGAGGAAACGGAGATGATGAAAAAATAGGAAGAATAAGAATAAGAGAAGAAGAGAGAGAAAGAGACTGCGATGCTGAAAGAAAAGGGAAGGAAGAGATATCCCACAGAAGAAACTGAGAAGAGAAGAGAGCGAGAGACAGCGATAAGGAGAAGAAGGGAGGAGAGAGCGTCCTACTGCATGAGCGCGGCCTCCTTGAGGAACTGCAGGATCTCGTCCGCCGACGCCGCCTCGCCAGTGCGTCTTGACCGCCACGCGCGTCTCGGCGCCGCCGCGCGCCAGCTCGCCCAGGAACACCATCCCGAAGAAGCCGTGGCCGAGCGGCCGGTCCAGCCGCACGCGCA